CTATGACACCTGAAATCACATGATATCACTCAAAATTCGCTTTAATCCATCCAAGTCTTCCGTCTATCATTGTCCTTTTTCAGCGCCGCAGGCGAAAATTTGAAAATTTGGGAGGGACAAAAAGCCAGATTTTCATCATTTATTGCGAGGGAAATTTTAATAATTATAATAAAAATCTGCTAGAATTTGTCCATTTGATAAGCGAACGAAAATTTAGAATATGTAAAAAAGAATTAAGAAATACTTAGGTTAGAAAAAGAATTATGAATTCTAATACAATTTAAGATTTTTTTTGTAAAAGTATTAATAATTAGTAACATTTATTCCCTTATAACAATAAGTGAAACCTAAAACAAATCCACTTAACCACAAATTACTGTGCAATTGTCTACTGTGCAGATGCCCTCTGTGCAAAAGTCTTACTGTGCAAATGGATCACTGTGCCCGAGTCGTGTCACCGTGAAAACTTGCTAACTTTTCCTTAAACATAACGCCAAAATTTAAATTTAATGTCTATTTGCTCTCTTTATTTTATTGCATCCCTCGTGCGTCTGACTTTATTTTGCGAACAAGAGAAAGGGTCAGAAAGAGACGAGTTATAAAATGGTCAGATGGAAGGAAAATTCTCTCATTTGTGAGGGGAATTAGTTAAATTTATAACTTTTTATCTTCCAATTCAATTTTTTTCAAATTTTGTATTTTTGTGGACCTGACTAGAAAGGTTTGGTTTTAGAACTCAACCCGGCTTTTCTCGATCTGCGGCAACTTTTTTTATGTAATTCAAATAGTAGAATCTCTGTAGAATCTTGTTAATACTACTCATCGATAGCACGTCACTTTTAATCTTACGCCAGGTCATTTCTCTCCCGAGAGTGGCGTATGTAAAGCATATAGCTATTTAATTCCTAAGGATGTGCAATAAACGGTGTAATGGATCCGGTTTACTGAAGATGCTGGTTCGCTCCCAGCCCCGAGAAAAATAACTATGGCCCAACTACTTTACTCGTATTACTATACCGAATACCAATAATTTAAAAACTAGTATGCCTGATTTCCAACAAAAAGCCTGATTAATCCCGATTTCTTCATTCAAAGTCTGATGTTACTTAGAGTTATCTATCTACATATTATTTCTCTATCTCGAAACTTTAATCATATCTTGTACAATCGACCTCCACTCTCGAAATTATTCACTTATTGTTGAAATCCTTCACCTTGGTTTTCTTAAACGTCTATTAACATATAGAATATGCCCTTTAAGTTCACATTTAAATCACATTATTTTTTTAAATTTCAAAAGAAATATTAGTCATTGTTTTGTCTAGTTAACTTTATGATGTAAGGAAGTAATATTTTCTCATTAATTATTTAAAGTGCATTTTATTATGTCTACAATTTTGTTTTTTTAATTGAAAAAATAAAAAGGACTTAAGTGCTTTAATAACAATAATTTTAAAATTTTTTGAAATATTTTTCTGTATAAATACTTCACTTATTATAGTTATATTTTATCATTTTTAACTTTCCTCCTCTTTATTTTTATATTTAAATTTTTTTAAATTTAAATTTGTCCTTTCATATATTTTAAAGCGATTTTTATTTTAAATAATTCATTATGTGTACACCTTTGGTGAAAAATTGTATCTTATAATCAGGGGTCGGTCGGAATTCCGATTTCTGACACCTCGTCATTTCCGACCGACCTCTGCTTATAATTAGGGTTCTCGGTTCTGTACCGAACCAAGCCGATGAACTAATGATTTTTTGGTTCGGATATCGGTTCGGTTCCTGATATCCGAAGATTTTCCAAGAACCGACAACCCTGCTTATAATGAAGAGCTTCCAAATTGGATGTATTGCTTGCATAATCTTCTTGTGACGGATAATAAAATTTAAAAGAGGGGGAGGCAAAATCACGCGCGATATTGTCTAGTCTTTTCTCATTATGACATGCGAGTTTTTAAGCATAGCCCCTTTTACCCAAAAGCCAGACAAATTTAAAGACGTATTTTAAACTGAATTTTATCTACAAGTGAACTAGTTATCAAAACATGCTTCTTATAAATATTTTGCAGTAATTAAAATCTCTATTGTTTAAAATTTTTTAAAATATAATTCAAAAAAATTTCTCTACAAAATTTTTAAAATAATTTTTTAAAGATAAAATGATAAACAAACAATTAATTATTATTAATTTATTTTTAATTTTAATAATTTTTAAATTTTGTAAATGCAATGAAATGACAGTTAAATATTACAAAAATTCTGGTCACCGCTGTGAATTTACTGAACAAAATCAAAAAATAATTAAAGAGACTGGAAATATAATTAATTTAAACGAGAAAATAATTCGAGTTGAAGTATTCTATAAATATGCAAGAAATAATACTTTATTTGGAAAAACTAATTATTTCTTTTTTCTTGGGGAACAAGGGGATTTGTATTATTTGAAGGATAAAGAAGTAGAAAAATGTACAAATTTGAGATATACTATATATAGATCGATTAAAGATTTAAATATTGTTGATGGAAATGTATGTTTTTAAAGCCTTAATTTTAACCATTGTGTGAAAGCTTTACTTAAGCGATAACCCTAGTTTTTAGGTCAAGTCTTGTGTTTAGTTACTTTTTTTATTTGTTGAAGTAGGGAAATTGGTAAGGAAATTTTGGTAGGGAAACATATCGGGACCGACATTACGGGATTACGGTAACAGAGAAATAACCTTTTGCATGCTTAATTGGTTCTAAAACTTGAAAACTTTTTGTCAATAGGGCAATGTACTATCCAAGACCCAGTGGCCGTAGGTCCTGAATTCAATAGGGTAACTGTTCCTAGTTTGAGATATCCTCATATATTCGATTTGATACCGAATATCCCCCGAAATATTCCCGACTTGATACCGGTTGCGCTCGGTATAAGCTTTGTAAAATTTATTTTTAACCATGTACCACAGTTTCTCTTACGATACCATCTCCTACCATCTGTTATAGTAGGTTAAATAACCATAAACAACATTCTTATGATAGGGGAATGGTTGTCACAAATAATTAAATTTACGATAATTTGAAAGTTAATTCTTGAAATTTTTTCCAATTAAAATGCAATCCTAGTAAGAAATATAAATTTGATTAATATGTATAAAAACTGACAATTAAATATTCTCAAAAATTTCTTCTTCCAAAAATTTTTCCTTTTCAAGTTAATTGAATATATGCCTTTAATAGGCACAGATTATAATGGAAATAAATATTGCCAAATTGTGTTAAATAATGCAAATTCTTCGAGTTTTGTATTTAAAAACAATAAAAAAATTTTTAGTAGAGAAGTTGATACTTTTTATTTAAGTACAGAAAAAGGGGAAATTGGGCTTTTCCCAAATATCAATCAAATAATAGTTGAAAATAATAATGAATTAAAAAAACAAAGTTGGGAAATTTGTAGTGAATCAGCTAAGGAATTAAATAAAGGTAAAAAAGATGTTTAGTTTTTTAAAATTTTTTTGAAAAACTCTTTCCATGGTTACCTGACTTGGATTTAACGGGAGAGACTAAGTTTCGATGCCAGGCAGCAGTTGGTGAAGGTTGTTCCCGTATAGTTCCTGTATGGCACTTGAATAAGTGGCACGCCTCGAGTGGGGAGGCAATAGGGTTTAGCTTTGCTTGTAAATCATAAGACAGAAAGGTATTGACTAACAGTGATCAGTAAATTATTTGATCAAATAATTTAATAATTATTTTATTTTTGAAAAAATCTAACTTTTTACAAATATTAAACGAATATATAATTAAATATTTGATAAAAGTTGATCAAATATTTGTTTGGTCCGATCTCTATTGACTACTACAAACACGTACATATATATTTGTGGCTGATTTAATTATATAAAAAATTTAGATGTTGTTATTTAATTAACTAATTTAAATATTTTTCTTTAAATTAAGCAACATTTTTGGTCATAAATGATTGAATTAAACAAAAAGAAAAAGAATAAAAATCGTTAAATTAAATTAAATATTTATTTTCTTAAAATTTTCTAAATTTGTTTTCGATTTTTGTTTTATACCAAATATTTTTTTTTGGGAATTTTGAAGAAATTATCCCTTTTTCTTGATTCTTAGCTGTTCCTTTCTTTTATGATAAAAATTCATTTTATTTTTTTTATATTTTGTAGTTTGTATTTTCTATTCTACTTTTTCTAGTTTGTTCACATTTTATCAATAAAATTCAATTATAAGCGATAAAACAATTAATATTTAATTTTAATTATTTTAGACTCGAGGAAAAGAGAATTAATTATTTAATCATTAATTTGTTTTTTAAACAATTAAATTGACATCATTTTTAAATGTTGATAGTAGAAAAAAGTTTGTATTTTGTATTTATGTAGTTTCTATTCTTCACTATAAAATTCTTTTAATAACCTGTTGAGAGTATATATAATTTGTGAATTTTTATAAAAAAAATAATTTCCCCAATTATTTAAAACATTCTTCTTTTCCTCTATTAAAAATTCAATTTAATACATGCAATCGAGACTGACAAAATTTGAAAAAAAAGAAAAAAATAATTTTTTAGTTTTTAATTTAACGACAAAATTTGAAATTAAAAATTCAAATTTATATATGTAATTTTATTTTCAAATTTTTTTATCTTGCCAACCATTTATAATTTACACTTTAATTTTAAAATTAAAAAATAAATTTTAACTTAAATTTTTATTTATTTAAAATGAGTTTATTAAAAAATCAATTTTTTTTTGTTTCAGGTTGAGTTCATTTAAGTGCATTTTTTGTTAAATTAAAAGTTAAAAAATTATTTTATTTTTTTATTTTTCAAAATTTGTTGTCTAGACAATAAGAGAGACATAAAAAAAAGATAAAACAATTGACTTGCTTGTTTATTAAAAAAAATTTTTTTAATTAATTTTTTCAAGCAGTAAAATTAAATTAATTAATTTAAATTTCCATCAAAATTTGCAGATTTTCTTTTAAATTAAAAAATGAAAAATATTTTGTTTAAATATTTATTATTTTTAATATTTTTATTTAATGTCGAATCTTCAAAAATTTTAGTTTTTAGTCCAACTATAAGTCGAAGTCATATGATTTCCAATGCCCGAATAGCTGATACTTTAGCTAGTGATGGACATAATGTTGTTAGTTGGTTTTACTTTAATTAAATTATTTTTTAAATTAATTATTCTGAGAGGATTGAGAGACTAAAACTTGATAAAATTGGGAGATAAAATAAAATGAGAGGAACGGGAATTCTCTCTAATTGAGGGAGAACTACCTTTATGAGGGTAGCATAAACTTGAAAGGATTAGAATCTGAAACATTTCATAGTTACCGATAAACTAATTTAGCTAACTGGACGATAACTTCGATTTCTCTCATATAAATCTTAAATCTTCGCCTAAATTCATTTAATTAATTTTTTAATTTTAGACCCTTTTAGAAGTTGAATTTCTTGCAAAGGTGGGAGAGTTAAATGCTTCAAAAGTTGCAAATACACTATTAGTGCCGGGTCAATTTATAGATCCAAAAGAATTTAATTCATCCATGATAGCTGAAATGTCATTTAAGAATGTTTTTTTACCTATGGATTTTCTAGTTGGTACTATTTTACAAACATCTTTCAATATTGCTTGTGAAAGTAAGTTAAAGAGATAGGGACAGATCACTGTACAATCAAAATACTGGCAGATATAATTTTTATATATTTTTTGGGCAAACAGCACCTCGGTCGAACAACTAATAAATAAAAACCAAGAAGTGTGCCGAAATAAACGTGGGATGCATAAGGCGAAATTAAACATCCAGGAGGTTTTAAATCCTCGGAAAGTAAAAAGGAGGGATGTGTATTACAATAAATTCATTCCATAAAAATTAATTGATATTTTGGAAAGTATTTTGTGATTTGTCCCTAACACATATGAAAATATAATAATAAAAAACATTTTTCATTTTAAGAATTTTTGCTTGTATCAGAAAAGCTTTTTGATAAACTTAGAAATGAAAAATTTGATATAATAATATCTGAACAGTTAAATTCTTGTGGAGCTGGTGTTGGCCATCTTTTGGGTATACCTACAAATATATTAGTTTCTAGGTAATTTTTAAATTTATTTGTAAAGTAAATGTAAACTATCACTAAAAAAGTAAACTATTACCCAGAAAAAGCGGGCCCTTCTCTCTTAAGATAATAATATGTAAATACTAGGGTTCAGCGGTACCGGTATTCCGAGAAAAAACCGGTATCGGTATTTCGGATTGATGATACCGATCCCGATACCGGTACCGACTCGGGATCGGGATTAGCCTAAATCGGTATCGGGATTTGAGTTAATGATACCGGTACCGATACCGACTCGGGATCGGGATTGAAAAATCGGTATCGGTATTTCCTAAAAAAATTTTAATCCGAAAAAAATAAATAAATTCTTTAATAAATAAATTTATTTCTCATTTTGAAAAAGGTATTAATCTGTAGTAAAATGATAAATTAGCACTATGAAGCTATTCTCGAGATAGAAACATCTCAGAAGCCAATAGAAGAGCTTCCAAATCTATCGATATCCACATTAATCCTCCGATATCATCTTGATCCAAGGTTATACTCCAGATTCAACTTTATATCTCAAATCAACTTTGGGGACTTTTGGGAGTACTAGGGATACCTCCGATAATCGAAAGATATCCCTCAATATGGTGACTAGACCTGCATAAAACTTTTTTTCATTAGGCTTCGTTCATTAACAAAACACCTGTGTTTCATTAATGAACATTATTTTACTTTTAAGCCAAAATTTAATTCACCGAAGGCGCCAAAATCGAAAATTTCGGAAATTTTATGGCCAAAAGGCCTAGCTTTTTCCCATTTCAGCGCCGCAGGCGAAAATTTTAAGATTTTTGTAAAGTCAATAGGCCAGAGTTGTTCCTTTATTAGCGCCGCAGGCGAAATTTTTGAGAATTTTAGAAGGCTGTAGGTAAAAAAATTCACTTTTTCAGCGCCGCAGGCAAAAATTTTGAAGATTTTTATAGACTAAGAAGCCAGATTTCTTCAATTTTCAGCGCCGCAGGCAAAAATTGTGAGAATTTTAGAAGGCCATGTAGCTAATTTTGTCCATAAATCAAATGAAAAATCGATCCTTAGGGGTGTTAAAAAATACTGATATTCATCGGTATCCGACGCTAATCCCGATACCGATACCGATACCGATACCGGCCTCGGTATCGGTATCAGCAAAAACGGTATCGGGATTTATCATTCGGTAGCGGTATCAGTAAAATCGGTATCGGTATTCAAAGAGACCGGTATAATACCGCCCGATACCGGTCGGGATCCCGATACCGCTGAACCCTAGTAAATACGCAATCCAATTCATAATATTTACTTCATAAACATTGCCGTGGTAATAAACATAAAGGGATACTAAATATTAACGAACTATTGTGGCAGAACGTCCTTCTGTTTCTACTGGTCAGGATAAAATACATATACCTAAGCTTTAAGTACATACAATTAAATGTAAGGTCGAAAAAGGGCTTATAATGTGGGTAGATAATAACATAGTATATTACATGGGAAAATGTAAATGTAATATAAAAATTCGTACTTCTATACTTCCAAAGTAAGTATGAATGAGAGTCCCCTGCCTTACAATAATAAAGACGATCCCCGAACCAAAAGTTTCTGTTATCCAGTCTTTCTTCGGATCTCTAATTAAATTATACTCATTATAAAAAAAGATTTTTTCAGCCCAAGTGGTGGGTGAGGGTTGTGAGGGTGCTATATTGAGGGCTGTCCAGTAAAAAGTAAAAAAAATTATCTTTTATTTTTAAAAAGCTGTCCAATACAAGAACATGTTGCTTCAATATTAGGACTTCCAAATCCAGGAAGTTACATTCCTTCATTATATGATTCTAATTTGCCCGATAAAATGTCAATTTATGAAAGAACAACAAATTTATTTAGACAATTTGCTGGTTATGTTTATACAATTTATGGAGTAGATCCTTTAACTAAAATATTTAAAAAACATTATGGGGCAACATTTCCTGATTTAAGAACTATTGTTGCAGAAAGTCCTTTTGTTTTTGTTAATGTTGATGAATTTTTGGATTTTCCCCGTCCAATATTTTCGAATATTATTTATATTGGTGGACTTGGAATGGAGGAAGGGAAAAATACAAAAATTAATAAAATTGAGGTAAAAATTGTTTAATTTGATATCTGAATGATTCTGTTATTCTGAGTAACCACAAAAATTCTCGCCAATCTATAAAATCTGCATTTTATCGATACCGCCCGATACCGGTCGGGATCTCGATACTGCTCAACTAGATTTTACATACTTGTTAGTAAGTACTATGCCAATGCCTTGCTGCGTGGGGATTATTCAAAACTAGATCTGATTACCTTCCCACTCGGGGCGTGCTACCTTTTTAGGTGCTGCATAGGACTACATTAAAGCAGCCCACTGAGTCTCCCGTTAAATCCCTGGTAATATGTATATCTATGTTAATTGATAAAAGATTGTTCGGAAATGTCGACGGCTTTGAGATAGGTTGAAAGTTATTAAAAAATTGTTAAGAAAATAATACTAAAATCTTTACTAATTATTTTTTTAAAGGACCCAATAAATATGGAAATGTCTAAAGGTAAAAAGGGTGTTATATTCTTTTCAACGGGATCAGTAGTGAAAACAACAGATATGGATGAAAATTTTAGAAGGAATGTATTATTAACTTTCTCTCAATTGACTGATTATCATTTTATTGTGAAAATTGAGAAGGACGACAATGTAAATTTTGAGGGTAAAATGGGGCAAAACACTATCCGACTAGAAATATGTACAATCTGGAATAAAATGACTATGTATTTCCAAAAATTGAGCAAAAAATGAGGCATCGTTAATAAGATCATCATACACAATCAACCTAATTTGTGTGATCAACCTACCGTACTTATTTGATTAATTCCCCACCCTCGAATAATTCCCCAGGGGAATTAATCGAGTAAATACGGTAATTCTCTAATAGTCTTTTCAATATTAAGAATAAATAGTAGGCTTGAGCACGCACCACTTTTTAGGTAGATCTCACTTCCGGGAGGTATTTTGTTTGGATAGTGTTTAAGCCTAACACCCTTAAAATATTAAAGAAAATATTTTTTTAGTTTTCCTTAAATTTTGCCAAAGAATTCAAAAATATTTTTGTCACATCATGGGCTCCACAAACTTTTATTTTAAAACATCCTCGATTAAAATTATTTATTACCCATGGAGGTTACAATAGTTTAATGGAATCGGCACGTTCTGGAATACCTTTAATTTCTATGGGGTTTTTTGCTGATCAGTATAGAAATGGACGTGTGGCAGAAAGGAATGGTTGGGGACTTCCGTTTGATAAAAGATTGTTACTTAATGGAAATAAAGAATTTAAAAAGGCTGTTTTGAAAGTTATTGAGAATCCAAGGTGGATTTTTTACATCCATTATAAACCTCATTTTAAGTCTATCTTTAGGGCTGACGGATGATATGAATCTCACTATAAGATAGCTATGGAAACATTATAAGATATACCGAATTCATCGGACCCGCCTAGAAGATAGAACCAATAGTGCTTACTCATTAAGAGATACCCCCAATACTAGATAACAGGAATGGGCTTTGCTGTTTAAAAAACGGAAAGCGGAAAGGTCAAAATAGCATAATTCTGCGGAAGATGGAAGCGGAAGACAGCCCATACCTGCTAGATACTCAGTTTAGGATAAGTTTTTTAATTCAGTTGGCCATTGGGTGGGGGAGGCCTTAACGATACCTTATATTTAAGACAGAAGGGCATTTATATACGATGTCAAACATTACTAAAACTACATATTTTTCTCTTTAGTTATCTAAAATCAGCAAAAAGAATACAAAAACTAGTTTTAAACAAACCATTCTCTGCAGAAGAACGTCTTCTTCGGAGCATTCGTTTTCTTGAAATAAGTGGAGGAAAACTTCCAGAATTATTACCAGAATCGAGAAATATGAGCACAATTGCTTTTTATAATTTAGATATTTTAATTTTGGCAACAATTTCCTCAATTCTTTTAATTTTTATTTTTTGGAGGTTTTTAAAGTTTTTGAGATTAATTGGAGGAAGACGATCAACATTTTTTAATAAGAAGGAAGAAAAAGAAAGTAAGAAGAATGAATAACTACTCTCTTTTATTTTAATAAAGCCACACTAAATCATGTATTTAATTCCACCCTTTTTTTAAAAAATAAATTAAATTTAACTTTTTTAATAAATCTTATATGTATTTTTAATAAACAATTAATATAAATAGAGCTAGGATTTTTAGACATTAAAAAGTTAAAAATAGGTACCGTCTGTATCCGAAAAAGCATAATCTACATGTCCGCAAAAGTCATTCAACAAAAAGGCATTTTTTGCTGCATTCACTCCTTTCATTTTTCTTAAAATGATTGGTTGACAGTTTGGGCAACAAAGGGAAGGGGCCTTCAAAATCCCAAATATTTGAAAAAACTCTTCGAGCAAGTCGAATCAGCCAAAGTATTATTACACTATCTATTACTCCCTAAAGATTATCTTATCTAAAAGACAAAATAATTTATTTTTAAACCAAAAAAGAACCTTTATTATTTTTTAAATTTAAATAATTATTCCCATTTTTTATGTTAAATAAAATTAAAAAAATTAATTTTCTTTTAAAAATCCCCCTATCAAAAATTTAATTATAATCGTGTTTTTATCAAATTCTCTTTTAAAGCACCCTTTTTTAATCTCTTTTCTTCAATTCTTTTCTCCCGCTAACAAAGGCATAATTCCATTAGTAGGAGCACATTTACCATTGTGAGTGATACAGGCACTAACAGTTGTGCAACAACTAAATTATTTTTACATTTAAATAAAATTTTAGTATCTTAATTCTGCTATACTTTTCGATATCGATATTAGAGTGCTTCTAAACTTGACTGTTTATTTTTAAATAATTTCCAGTTTGTGTACACTTTTATTGAGAAATAAAATAAATATTTTAAAGTTATATTTAATTTTATTAAATAAATTTAGACATTACTAATATTTGTTCTGCTTAGAATACTTGCAACAAACATTATCACACTTTGTGCCATCAGAGCATGTTTCTTTTGCCATCAGGGTGTTAATTAATAAATTTAACAAAATAAAGAAAAGAATATTTGTAATGATTTTGCCGTTCATTTTTAATTAGTAATTTTTTCTCTATTAAAAAAATTTAAATTCTTAGTATTTCAGTACTTTTATTAGAAAACAAAGAATGGACTCTTTTTTATATAATATTTTTGTTGGACTTCTAAATTAATTATTGAAAAAGCAAAAACTTTTAGTTTACCCTCTCTCAAATAATTACCCCTTAATTATTTTATTTAAACTTTAAAAATATTTAAAGAATTAAAATCAAAAAAATCAATTTCGCCTCAATTGGATTGAGATATACCCTAAATCCAGCACATCCTCCCCAATAATTACCCCTTGCAGCGAGAGATTTACATTTTACTTAATAATTAAAGCTGTGGGGTTAATAAAAAAATGAAGATATTTTTTTCTAGAGTATTTCTTTGTTTTGAATAAATTTTAGAATATTTATTGTTAATTAAAACACAAAAGTTCTTTTGGAAAGATAAAATACTTTTTTGAGGCAATAATGCTGTGATAATTGAGGTTATTTAAATGAAAAGGATTAAAGAATAAAATAAATTGAATTAATAAAAAAAATTTTAGCAAAAAATATTTTTAGAATATTCTTTAAAGTTTTATCCACTAAAAACATATTTGTTCAGGCTTTCTTCTTCTAAATTTGGAAAAAAATTATTGAGAAAAGAATTAATACGAAGATAGAAATTTGAGTATTTTTATTTCATAACTTAAGAAAATTATTCTTTTATTTTTGTGTTTTGAAATATTCCCCACTTTAGTGCATGACAAAATGTACTTTATTAAATAATTTCTAAATATTTTTCTATTCATTCACAAGCCTTCTTCCAGTGCCGTTCAATTTGAGGTAACTATACAGAAGAAATATGGATTACTGGCTTTCCAAACCGCATTCTATCTTCTGTAAATGCAGTCCGCAAAGCTAAATATTCTGTAAAAGACATCCCTTAATTTCCTACGAGTCATCAAATTTTGACTGCTTGGCGTAATTTCTTTGTGGCGTAATTCGTGACAAATACCTAATTTATTTACAAATAATTAAATAAAAATTAAATGTATAAAAATTTGTGATAAATTTTTCAAATATATTTTAAGTAAATCACTGGACCCTCATTTAGAGGGGGATTAATATAAATCTGGCATGTTCACAGATATGAGTAATATCTGTCTAACCAGCGGATATCCACACAATATCCGTAAATATTAATAAAGAAGAAATCTGGATTATTGGCTTTCCTTATACAAAATTAAACTTTTAATGCTGTAAAAAGTCAAATAAAAATATTTACATACATATTTTTTCAAAAATATTTTTTGCTCTAATTTGTTAACAATTTATTTATTTTTTCAATAAAATTTATTTACAAACAATAAAAAATAAATTTAATGTTTAATTATGTGTTTTAGAGAATGTTAATAATTTTTTTTAACTGATAAAGAATATTTTTTCGATTTATTTAATTAAATAATTATTTTTATAAAAATAATTATTTGTCATTTAATAATTAATTAAGGAATTTTTGAAGATAATAATTAAATATTTAAAATACTCTTCTTCTCTCCTTCTATTAAAAGCTAAAAAATTTTTTAAAAAAAACTTAAAATGGTGAAAAAAGTCAAATAAAAATATTTACAATTTTTTAAAATATTTTTTGAAGTTTGTTATCAATTAAAAAATAAATTAATTTTTTAAAATTCATTTTTGTATTTATAAATTTTTTTTGCATAAAAGTGTGCTTGCAAAATTACAGCCGCATTTAAAAGATTGGCCAGTAATAAATAAATTTTATCGTCACGTGAAATTAATTTTTTTTGCAAAAATTATACATGACGATTCCTTAATGTGGTTTTTCAAATTTTTTTCCTTAATGCAACGTTTCTTTTTTTAATAACTTTGTATTAAAAAAATAAATAAATAAAATTAAAAATTAATTAACATTCTATAAAGATTGTATTATTAAAGAATCATTTAAATATTTTTTTATCAGTCTCCTTATAAAATATTTAAAACATTCTTCTTTTAAAAATTAAATGTTATATTGTTAAGCATTTAAATTTTAATTAATTTCAATTTAAAAAATAATAAAATTTAAAATTAAATTAGAAACACTTTATTTATTTAAAATAAGCTTTATTACTAGAAAATCAATTTTTTTGTTAAATCTGGTTGAGTTCGATTAAGCATATTTTTAAGTAAATAAATAATTGATTTATTTGTTTATTTTATTTTAAATTATTAAAAAAAAATTTTTTTAATTGATTTTTGTTTAAATTTAAACAAAAAAAATTTTTAATTTAACAGTAAAATTAATTTTTTTCTTCAAAAATTTGCAGATTTTCTTTTAAATTAAAAAATGAAAAATATTTTGTTTAAATATTTATTATTTTTACTAATATATTTATTTAATGTTGAATCTTCAAAAATTTTAGTTTTTAGTCCAACTATAAGTCGAAGTCATATGATTTCCAATGCCCGAATAGCTGATACTTTAGCTAGTGATGGACATAATGTTGTTAGTTTCCTTTAATCATTCTTTTAATATATAGGACTTTGAAATCTAATGAGGTAATTACCTGAAAACCCAGTACATGGAGATTTAATTTAGTAAAAAAACGAGCTGGAAATACATTGAATAACAAGGGAGTTTCCCAACAATCTATAAGAGGTTAACATAAATTTAGCTACTTGACAGCAGAAGTGTATCGGAACAGTCAGAGGTGTTGAAATCGGAAGAGCCGCAAATCGGAACTTGCTCAAAAGTCGGAAATCGAAGATAAAAAATTTTTTTCGGAAATCAAAATGAAAAAAACGCCGGAAATAGGAAATCGGAATTCCGACCCACCTCTGCTTGGCAGAAATCGAATTAAAATATTTAACAAGTTTTTGCTAAATTAAATGAGCAATGATTTTTGCTTTTTTAAAAACCCGATTACGTTTTTTTAGCTTTCTGAATCTTTTATTATTAATTAATTATTTTATGATATTTTAATTTTTTAGACTCTTTTAGAAGTTGGATTTAGAGAAATAGCTTTAAATGCTTCGAAAGTCGCAAATAAAATATTAGTGCCGGGCCCCTTTATAGATTCAAAAGAATATGATCCATCATTGATGGCTAAAATGGCATTTAAGGAGGTTGATTTAACTAAGGATTTTATAGTTGGTTCAATTTGGCTAACAACTTTTAATAATGCTTGTGAAAGTAAGTGAGAGGGAGGGGGACAAATCACTGTACAACTAAAATACTGGCAAATATTATTATTACTATAGGTATTTGGAAGAAACGGCTATTAGGTTGAACAACTATTACAGTGTTACCCAAATGTACCCAGACACTAATGCTGGGTATCAGGGATGTGCGCCAGAATTTTCGCGTGGCGCGCCAAACGCCAATTTTTCAAATTTTCAAATCACGCCAAACGCCAGAACGCCAAAATCGGCAAAAAACGACGCCAAAACGCCAAACGCCAAACGCCAAAACGCCAAAAATTTTATTAAACTAAGGGCCGAAAAACAAGTGTTTATCTCTTTTTGGCGCCGCAGGCGAAAATTTTTGAATTTTCACGACTTCCAGAAGCCAAAATTCATCCTTTTTTTAGCGCCTACACCCAAAATTATGGAAATTTGTTAAGAACAAGAGCAGAAATCCTACTTTTTCTAAAAAATTGCAAGAAAAATGGAAAAATCAAACCCAGAATTGTAAATCAAACCCAGAATTGTCTTTTTTGTGCGCCGCAGGCGCAAATTTTGAAAATTTTGGAAGGCTGTGGGCAAAAAAATTTCATTTTTTGAAAAACTTCCCCCATTTATTTGGAAAATTCCCATCATTAGGGGTGTATAATTTTGGCGTTTTGGCGCGCCAAAAACTGAAAATCACGCCAAACGCCAGCACGCCAAAATCGGCCAAAAATCACGCCAAAACGTCACGCCAAAACGCCATGACGCACATCCCTGCTGGGTATGGCTCCGATTTATAAAGTATTTTTGAAAGTGATTTTTTGTGATTTGTCCCTAACACATGTGAAAATAAAGAAAATTTAACTTTTCCTTCTAAGAATTTTTGCTTGTATCAGAAAAGCTTTTTGATAAGCTTAGAAATGAAAAATTTGATATAATAATATCTGAACAATTAAATTTTTGTGGAGCTGGTGTTGGCCATCTTTTGGGTATACCTACAAATATATTAGTTTCTAGGTAATTTTTAAAGAAGGTATTTTCATTTAACAGTCGAACCTCATTATATAAAGTGTGCAACATTATATAAAGAAAGGCATATTTTAGGTCATATCTCAAGTTTTTCTTTATGATAAGGATGACGCTTGGGCGGGAGTTATACGAATAAAAGAGAACGCATTAGTCGTCGCCACGGTAGCTCAGTGGTAGAGCACCTGCATTTGTGATACCAGGTCGAGCGATTACTGTACTCGTTTTCGCAGGTTCGAATCCTGCCTTGTGGCAGAAATCCTGCCCTGTGGCAGGATTTCTATTGCCTGTATCTCGTACCAAGGTACTAGTACGACTGTGAATTTCGGTACCAGCCTCGAAGCATGGAACCTGATAGTGAGACTCGACTTTAAAAATTTAAGAAATTATCCTTTATTTTTAAAAAGCTGTCCAATACAAGAACATGTTGCTTCGATATTAGGTCTTTCAAATCCGGCAAGTTACGTCCCGTCGTTATATTATTCAAATTTACCTGATAAAATGTCAATTTATCAGAGAACAACAAATTTATTTAGACAATATGCTTGTTACGTTTATTTACTTTATGGAGTAGATCCTTTAACAAAAATATTTAAAAAACATTATGGGGCAACATTTCCTGATTTAAGAACTATTGTTGCAGAAAGTCCTTTTGTTTTTGTTAATGTTGATGAATTTTTGGATTTTCCCCGTCCAATATTTTCGAATATTATTTATATTGGTGGACTTGGAATGGAGGAAGGGAAAAATACTAAAATTAAAGAGATTGAGGTTTTTAATAAAGTAAAGTAGAGCTGGGCTATGGCTATTTCTCTCCATCAGCGTTAAACCTCTGGGCCCATACCATAAGAGATTTGTTACTGGTTAAATGATTTTCGACAGTAGTAAACCATGAAATTTCTTATAGTATCGTTATAAATAACCTCGTGGTTACCCAACTATGTTAGGTGGTTGTGTCAAATTCCATGGCCACTTGGTCATCCCCCGTATATCAAAAATTATTTAGGAAAACTGTTATTTTTTAAAAGTACCCAATAAATATGGAAATGTCTAAAGGTAAAAAGGGTGTTATATTCTTTTCAATGGGAACAGTAATGAAAACAACAGATATGGATGAAAACTTTAGAAGGAATGTATTATTAACTTTCTCTCAATTAACTGATTATCATTTTATTGTGAAAATTGAAAATGATGACAATGTAAATTTTGAGGGTAAAAGGGGGCAAAACACTATCCGACTAAGAATACCTAGTTTACTTAACTCAAAAATGCGGCTCGCTCCACAAAATGGGGCAGAAAATGAGATCATTAAAAATAAAGCCACGAAAATTTTTTTCATTAGGTATAATGCCTGATTATTTGAACTTTTACGAGGCCAAAAAGCTAAAATTGGGCCAAAAATCTTATTTTCTTTTATTCTAGATTCATAATTGTCCTTTATGTTATAGCCATTAAGCTAAGCCTCGATAACCGATTACTTTTTGAAGGAAATCTATTTTCTGAAGATATTTTGTTTGGATAGTGTTTCAGCCTAAAAGCTTGAAATATATACTTTAAAAAATATTTTTTTAGTTTTCCTTAAATTTTGCCAATCAATTCAAAAATATTTTTGTCACATCATGGGCTCCACAAACTTTTATTTTAAAACATCCTCGATTAAAATTATTTATTACTCATGGTGGTTACAATAGTTTAATGGAATCAGCACGTGCTGGAATACCTTTAATTTCTATGGGGTTTTTTGCTGATCAATTTAGAAATGGACGTGTGGCAGAAAGAAATGGCTGGGGACTTCCGTTTGACAAAAGATTGTTACTTAATGGAAATGAAGAATTTAAAAAGGCTATTTTAAAAGTTATTGAGAATCCAAGGTGGATTTTTTATTTAGGTTGACAACTAAGTTTTGAGCCCCCCTTGGGTTAAGCGCATTCAATAATTATTAAAATTCATCAAAATGTTTTCAAAATGTAATTTATTTTTCTCTATGTTCCTAATTGAGTTGCCTATTTTTGGGCGAAAAATCAGAGCCATAGGATTAAGTTTCAAGCAAATGATTTAGACCATACACAGGATATGGTCCAAAAATGAATTTTGGATATGGCTCAGGAAATATACTGTAACTTTTTTATATTGTAAAGTAACGAAAAGAAATTTGCAAAGAAGATATCTAACATTCTTATTAATAAAATAAAGAAGAAATTAGGTAGGTCAGTCGGTTAGGAAAAAAGTTATGAATTTTTAACTCTAGGGGGCTCAAAACTTATTTGTTAGTTGAGAACCTAAGTAATTACATAAATACAAGCAGGAATTTTAAGAGTCATCCTTAGGGCTGACGGACTTCATTAGAAATTACCTCCAACACTACGGAGACAGCTTAAGATAGTTTTTTTTCAATTAGGTTGACCATTGAGTGTGAAGTTTTCTAAACGATACCATTTATAGTTCATTAACAATAATTTCAGTCATGGGATGTATAAATTTATACATAATGTCCAATATTAAATATTTTCTTTAACTTTAGTTATCTAAACTCAGCAAAAAGAATACAAAAACTAGTTTTAAACAAGCCATTCTCTGCAGAAGAACGTTTTCTTCGGAGCATTCGTTTTCTTGAAATAAGTGGAGGAAAACTTCCAGAATTATTACCAGAATCGAGAAATATGAGCACAATTGCATTTTATAATTTAGATATTTTAATTTTGGCAACAATTTCCTCAATTCTTTTAATTTTTATTTTTTGGAGGTTTTTAAAGTTTTTGAGTGGAAAATATACAATGGTGAAAAATAAAGAAAAAGAAAATAAGAAGAATGAATAACTACATATTAGTTAAAAAAACCCCTTAAATCTTTATTTAATTCTGCCTTTATTTAAAGCTTTTTTAAATAAATCTTGAATTTTTTGATAAAATTTTGGAATTTTCTTTTAATCTAGACAATTTGCTTTTTAATTATCCTTTAAAGTATGTAGGTCTCCCCTTTCTCCCCCTTCAATATATTTTATTTATTTGAGTAAAAATTAAACTTTTAGTGATGTCAATTTATTATGACTTTTTAAAATATATTTTTTGTAGTTTTTTGGTATTTAATTACAAATAGTAAATTTAATATTTAATTTTATTAATTATTTTAGTTTTGAGAATTTTAATATTATTTTATTTTAACTGATAAAGAATATTTAATTTTTATTTATTTAATTATTAATTAATTAATTTGTTTGTTTGCTTTGTTAATAATTTTTGGTTTTAAAAATTATTTAAAAATATTATACATAGATTCTTTTTTGTTGCCACCTTTTAAGGTTTTTTATAAATTTTTTTAAATTTTTCTTTTTTTAAAAATATTTTCGCTTTTGACATTTTTTTAGATTTTAATTTTTATTTTTAAAACACTTGTCATATAAATAGAAAATTGAAAGTTATTGACATTATAAACCATAAAATACTTTTTTTCTTTTTAAATGATTATAGTTTCGATAACTAATTAAGGAATTTTTGAAGATAATTTTTTGTTTATTTAAAACATTCTTCTCTCCCTTTTTAATTTTTGTCTATAGAATTTACCTACATACTTTTGAAATTAAAAATAAAAATTAAAAATTAGTTAAAATAACTTTATTACAAGAGAATCATTTTCTTTTGTTGAATCATTTTGGGTTCAGTTAAGCATGTTTATTTTTTTAATAAATAAATATGTAATAGATGAACTTAAAATTTAAAAAAATAATTTACTAATTTTTCCCTTTTTTTTTAATTTTTTTTGTTTTAATTTCGAAATCTCGACTTGAAAAAATATGTAAATAAAAGACATGCTATTTTTTGTTTTTGACATCTACTATTTTTTACAAAAAAAATTTAATGATTTTATTTCAAAATTTCTAGATTTTCTTAATTAAAATTAATTTTTCAATTTTTTTTGTTTAATCAGGATGAGTTCGTTTAATTTCTTTAAGTAAATAAATAGTTGATTTGCTTGCTTTAAATTATTAAAAAATTGTTAAATTGATTTTTGTTTAATTTAAAAAAAAATTAAATTAAATTAAATTTCATTCAAAATTTCCAGATTTTCTTTTAAATTAAAAAATGAAAAATATTTTGTTTAAATATTTATTATTTTTACTAATATATTTATTTAATGTTGAATCTTCAAAAATTTTAGTTTTTAGTCCAACTATAAGTCGAAGTCATATGATTTCCAATGCCCGAATAGCTGATACTTTAGCTAGTGATGGACATAATGTTGTTAGTTGGTTTTGATTTAATTAATTAAATATAATGAACAAACCCCGGTAATTCCCTAAAACACGGTAATTGAGAATGTGACCTTTAATTTAATAAAAAAATGTGTTGGAAATACATTGAAGAACGGTGGAGTTTCTAATTGATGGAGAGCATATGATTAAGAGGTTTACATAAATTTAGCTACCTAATAAAATACAGGAATCTGCAAACTGTGAGTTATTACTAGTATTTAAAATTGACCGGGTTAATTGGGTGATGATTTTGCCTTTTCCTCACATAAATATTAAATCAGTACCTAAACGCTTTTTGAGTTAATTAATTATTTTCTGGCACATATATTTTAATTTTTTTAGACACTTTTAGAAGTTGGATTTATTGTACCAGTGGGAGCTTTAAATGCTTCAAAAATTGCAAATACAATATTAGTGCCGGGTCAATTTATAGATCCAAAAGAATTTGATCCAGCGATATTAGCTGAAATTTCATTTAAGAATGTTGATTTAACTATGAATTTTATAGGTGCTTCAATTTTTCAAACAACTCATAATAATGCCTGTGAAAGTAAGTGAAAGAGGGGCAAATCACTGTTTAAGATTGGTTTTCACCTTTGGCTTTCTAAATTGACTATCGCCTTTCGGCTTTAGATATTATTCTAATATTTTTTGGCAGCCAAAAGGCTGAACAATTACAGTACAGAAGGTGTCGAAATAAAAGTTGATTCGCGAAAATCGAAATTAAAAGTCCAAAAATTGTAAATCCGCGGAAGGCAAAAAAAAGGAATGTGAACTAAGTACATGCCTGACATATACTAAATTATAATAAATCTTTTCCATAATCATTTTTTGTTTGAAAAAAAAAAATAAATTGGTATTTTTAAAGTAATATTTTGTGATTTGTCCCTAACACATATGAAAATATAATAATAAAAAACATTTTTCATTTCAAGAATTTTTGCTTGTATCAGAAAAGCTTTTTGATAAACTTAGAAATGAAAAATTTGATATAATAATATCTGAACAATTAAATTTTTGTGGAGTTGGTGTTGGTTATCTTTTGGGTATACCTACAAATATATTAGTTTCTAGGTATTTTTTCAGTAAAAATTATTCTTTAAAACAATCTAGCCTTGCTATAATACCTTAATTAAGGCATGGTTTTTTAATCTGGATGTTGCCTAATTTTAATTTATATCTAGGATAACCTAGGATATGTAAGATTTCTCAAATCCACGGGTATTTAAATGTTCTTTGAACTTTTTATTTTGCTCGTACTCGTATCTGGATTTTGCCTAATTTTAATATCTTAGGTTATAGACACCTATTTTTGGCCTCCTAACTTACTTCTTAATATCTATATAAGTACGTAGAGTAAAACTACGAGTACGAGTTTTGGTACGAGCTTCAAAGCTGGTCTCTAATAGTGCTGATTATCTCTAATTAAGACACCCCTCATTATAAAACACGTAGTTTTCATACCCAAGGTTATCTAATAGTAATGTCCGAGTAGCATAATTTAATAAAAATTTTTCCTTAGCTGTCCAATACAAGAACATGTTGCTTCGATATTAGGACTTTCAAATCCAGGAAGTTACATTCCTTCATTATATGATTCTAATTTGCCCGATAAAATGTCAATTTATGAAAGAACAGAAAATTTATTTAGACAATTTGCTGGTTATGTTTATACAATTTATGGAGTAGATCCTTTAACTAAAATATTTAAAAAACATTATGGGGCAACATTTCCTGATTTAAGAACTATTGTTGCAGAAAGTCCTTTTGTTTTTGTTAATGTTGATGAATTTTTGGATTTTCCCCGCCCGATATTTTCAAATATTATTTATATTGGTGGACTTGGAATGGAGGGAGGAAAAAATACAAAAATTAAAGAGATTGAGGTTTTTACTTTAAGTGTATTAGTTTGGCCCAACACTTCTAAATGTCCAACAGAGTAGCTCTAGTAATCACAGTTTAACAATGACCTCGTAATTACCTAACGTTACTAAATGACCGATCGAATTATCCTATATTTTTTAATATTGCCATTAAATTTATACCAAAAAATTCTTGCTAATCATCTTCTTATGGCACGGGTCCTGGTAGTATGTTACTGTTATTAAGATCTTTAATAATTCATTTTTAAAGGACCCGATAAATATTGAAATGTCTAAAGGTAAAAAGGGGGTTATATTCTTTTCAATGGGATCAGTAATGAGAACAACAGATATGGATGAAAATTTTAGAAGGAATGTATTATTAACTTTTTCTCAATTGACTGATTATCATTTTATTGTGAAAATTGAGAAAGACGACAATGTACATACATATAAATATTTTTGTTGCAAAGGAGGGCGAAACACTCCTAATAAAAATCTTGTCTAAATAGAAGGTTCCGTGACTTTTGCGCCGCCACTATCATTAAAAATATATGAATAACTACAGCCAGACCTCACTATAGTAGGTTTGTCGATAGTTGGAAATCTTCGGATATCCGGCTCCATATCCGAACTGAAAATTTCGGAATCAGGCCTTTTCGGATCCGACAGCCCTATGCTAAATGGATCCGACAGCCCTACGTTCTTGGGGCTGAAAATCATGCCGGAATAGGCTCAGTCTCGCTAACCGAGCTTTTTGAACGTTTTTATTTGGTAGTGTTTCAGCCTAAAAGCTTGAAATACTTTTAAAAAATATTCTTTTAGTTTTCTTTAAATTTTGCCAAACAATTCAAAAATATTTTTGTCACATCATGGGCTCCACAAACTTTTATTTTAAAACATCCTCGATTAAAATTATTTATTACCCATGGAGGTTACAATAGTTTAATGGAATCAGCACGTTCTGGAATACCTTTAATTTCTATGGGATTTTTTTCTGATCAGTATAGAAATGGACGTGTGGCAGAAAGAAATGGTTGGGGACTTCCGTTTGATAAAAGATTGTTACTTAATGGAAATGAAGAATTTAAAGAGGTTATTTTACAAGTGATCGAAAGCCCTAGGTAATGTTTTTTAATAAATACAATCCAACCTCATTTTAAGATTCACTCTTAGGGCTAACAGATTTCACTAGAAACTAACCTCATCACTACGGACATCACTATAAGATACCTTCAATACCACAGATGTCACGGGTAGAGTAAAAGAGTCGAGTAGGATTTTGGATTGTGTTTTCGAACATTTCTCGGACGGGTATCGGATTTCGGATTGAAAAATCGTCTTGGTTTTCGGATAACCCTTGGAATCCCTGCTACACACATCAATATAAATTTTTTAATTCAGTTATATGCTGTCAAACATTACTAAAATTTAGGGGTTGACCCCGAACACTTGGGGGCGGATGTCGGAGTACGGGGTTCTCACATTGTTTCGGGCGGGGTACGGGTCGGGGTTAAGGGAAAAAATTTTTAAGAATAAAGTTCGAAGATCTCTTGATCTATGTTCATTAATTTATGCAAAAATTAAGGATGATAAGAAGAGTTTCAGGAATATAAGGGAATTTGGAGTGATTAAGGGATCTTTGAAGGGATTAAAGGGTATATCTAGGGATATATAATACTCTTCCTTTTTTAGTTATCTAAAATCAGCAAAAAGAATACAAAAACTAGTTTTAAACAAACCATTCTCTGCAGAAGAACGTCTTCTTCGGAGCATTCGTTTTCTTGAAATAAGTGGAGGAAAACTTCCAGAATTATTACCAGAATCGAGAAATATGAGCACAATTGCTTTTTATAATTTAGATATTTTAATTTTGGCAACAATTTCCTCAATTCTTTTAATTTTTATTTTTTGGAGGTTTTTAAAGTTTTTGAGTGGAGGATATACAAAAATACGGGCAACATTCTTTAATAAAATGAAAATCAAAACAGAAAATAAGAAGAATGAATAACTATTAATATTAAAAGCCTTAATCCAACTCTTAAAAATTAATCCAACTCTTAAAATCCAATCCAACTCTTAAAAGTCATATTCTTATTTTAGACAATATGTACATGACTTTTTGATTCAAAAAAATTTATCAACTTTTCAATTAAATTATTAATTTATACATATTATTATATGTATATCCCCATTTTTATATTAAATAAAAATTAAAAAAAATAATTTTCTTTTTAAAATCCCCCTATCGAAAAACTTAGATAATTTTTATCAAATTCTCTCTTGCACACAACGTTTAGAAAAATTTTTCTTTAATTCTTTTTCCCAGTTAATAAAGGCATAATTCCATCTTCACAACATTTAGTTTGGCAACATCTATATCTCAAGCAACAACTAAATTTTATTTTTTTTTTAATTTAAATAATTAGGAAACGATATTTTCGATATCGATACTTGAAGGAGTTTAAATTTCGATTACTCAATTGTCTCGTTATTTCTTTCGATATTTGGTAAATTAATTAGATTTTCTGTTAATATAAGCACCGAAGCATATATTTTTAAGCATTTTTTAAATATGTAGCAAGCTATAGAACGGAAAAATTTAAGGTATTCTTGTATTATCCACTCCCAATTTCCTTTCTCCCATTAATCCAATCCGAGTGAAATTATTCAATTCCTTCTATTTCTGGAATCGGGAAAGGGAATGCCCGACACAAAAAATGTTGTGAATCCCTGATTTTCGGAAATTTGGTCGGCTAGATTCCTGGGCCCGTTTATAAGACATGTTTGGTCATTTAACTTACCTACACTAAAATTCCCCCGTAAGTTAAAAAGAAGAGGTGCTTGCATCAAAAAAAAACAGGTTGTTGCTTATTATTTATAGAGAGCGAGATTTTCAAAAAAACCTTGACCTTGATCCTTGATTTTGGTTGGGTACCTTGACCAGATTCTTGACCTTGAGTCAAGGAAAAATCAAGGAACTCTGAAAAATGTCCCTTGATCTGGACTCTGGATCCAGGAAAAATCAAGGCCTGTACATAGGTATAATAAAGATATATTTTACTAATTTTTATTAGTTTTGATATTCGTGCAACAGGTATGATTATCTTCACAAGTTGTTTTTTTATCGGGGCATTTGTGACTACAATCCATAAATTCAATATTAATTAATAAATTTAATAAAACGAAGAAAATAATATTTGTAGCGATTTTGCTGTTCATTTTTAATTAATTTTTTTCTCTAGTAAAAAATTATAAACTCTTAGTATTTCGGTACTTTTATTAGAAAACAAAGAAGGGACCCTTTTTTATAATTAATTACATACATATTAAAAAAGTATTTTAATGTACAGTAGAAACTTTTATGAAGTATTTTCAATGTTTTTATGTGCTGGAAAAATCTAGGAAATTTTAGTGTTATTTTAACTAATTTACCGTAAATGTTGAAATAATTACCCTCTCTGAAATAATTCAAATAATTATTTACCATCTCAAATAATTACCCTCTCTAATAATTACCCCAATAGTTATTTTACTCAAAATTTAAAAATATTTAAAGAATTACTATCAAATTTGATTATGGGAACATTTTAAGAATTAAAATTTAAAAAAATCAATTTCGCCTCAATTGGATTGAGATATACACTAAATCCAGCACATCCTCCCCAATAATTACCCCCTCCAGCGAGAGATCGA